TCACCCTCTTCTATATATAGGAATCATGAATCATTGTAATAAATATCAACACATCAATCAATAATATATATCAATTTTAACATAATCTAACCCTAAGACTAAAAGGGAAAGTAGAATATTTATTCAATCCCGTAGAATATATACAAAATATATACTACCATATATATATAAATCCTAATATTCTCACAATTTCATCCAATAACTTGGTTTTTTCTGTGGGTAGACTCAACTTAGGAGGAAGGGGAGAAAGCTAGGAACAAAGTAAAGATAGAAAGAAAAAGAAAACTAGAGAAAGAGAATGCAATTACTACAGATTGTGTAAACTCATTCTGATATATATAAAAAAAAAATAGAAAAGAAAAAGAAAAACAAGCTTTTCCCTATTTTTCAAAAATCAGTCCTGTGCATGTAGATTATACAAAATCAAGTAATTTTTACAGATACTCTCTGATGAGAGATTGATGAATCTCAAATGATTTGTTACCTGATGATGTTATGTTGTGAGTTGTGGGAAATTTTGTCTGACGATATCCTTATTCCAATGTGCTCCTTTTGTTGTTGTTGTTGTTATTGTTGTTGTTGTTGTTGTTATATATGATGGATGAACCATTAATACTAAGATGCATCGAAAGAGTATAAAAGGAAATGCCAATTACCGAAGGCTTGAACTTCCATAAGGGAACAAAGTAACTACTACTAGGCAAGAAAGTAGAAAGAAAGCAGAAGGATCTGTTTAAGCTTATGAGCCTAGAGTAGTTGCCCTTCAAAATTATGCAGATTTATCAAGACCCAAAATGTGATTACTACTCAAAACTTATTGAATTATGCCGCTTTATAATGTTTCTAATTTACTCGAACTTTGTAACCAGAAGAATGCAGTATTAAGGAATGATTTTTCCAATCAACTATGATGTCGCTAGACCTTTAGAAAAGGATCACTGCTTTGAATTAGTAGTGGAAAACTACAAAAATAGGGATGTTGTACTTATGAAAAAGATTGATTTCTTATTTATTTGATAATCCAATGGATTCTTCTTTAACCATATGAAACTTGAAAAAGTAGTGCGATGGAGAAGTTTTTTGTGGCCTGTCATCATGAATAGGTGTTTCTCCAAAGAATTAGTGCGCTAGGGTTTTGGGGTTTGGGAATGAATGATATATCTTTTAGAAACTTCTTTGAGGGTGATGCCTGTAAGTGTGGCAAAAGGGGACTGAATGAAGGTGTCTTTCAAAAACAATCTTATTTGTTGAGGGACCCTTTTCTGGTGGGGTTGTGTTTTCTAAAGCTATATAGGGTAAAGGTTAAAATTTTAGAAATTTTTGTAGAGGTTCACACAAAACATGGGTCAAGGCTTATATGATTAAGTATGGGTCTTCCTAGGTATACTCCTCAGGAGCAAAAGGCATTATAGTGCTTCTGTAGTTGTTTAATTAGGACCATCCCTCATTTGGTTGGATTTTTAGTTTACTTTACTTTTATCTTTCGAATTTATTAACTGTATCTTTTAGCTATTTTAATGTACATCGTCAGAAAATTCTTAAAATCATCAAGTGAAGGACTAAACTCTTTGTGGGCTCAACTACATATTAAACTCTTAAATTTGTCCTTCGCCTTCTTGTCAATTGACTCAACTCCTTAGAAGCATGAAAGTCTCTTTACTCAAATGCTCCACATAAAGGGCTTCATTCCTTAGTTCGATTCTCCTTCTACTTTCTCTACTTTCCACCAACTTTGAAATAACTCAGCCTCTACCCACCAACCTGGAAAACACCCGGTCTGCATGAAACTAACCTAGAGCAATTCCAGACCTCCTTAGACACTTTACAAAGGGAGATGGTCCTCTGAATCCCTCACCTCCTTGCACTTTGAACTTCAATGTAGGGGAACATGTCGTCTTCAAATGCAATTGTAAATTTACAAAATCTTCCTGAGAGCTGCAATCCACACGTACAACCTACCTTGAAAGGGACTTTAAAAGTTCATACCCTTTTCAGTTTCACAAAGATTCTTGTGTAACAGTTTGTAGTATGTCTTAGCTTCATACTGTTGGACTTGCATGCTACCATTGTTAAAATTAGTATTATTTTAGCTGGATGTTGTACAATATTTTGCTAGAGTTAATCGACTTTCCTGATTGAATATGTTGTGCTGATTTTCGCATTTATATTAGCCATTACCTAAACACATACACATACACATACATATACAAGGAACCCCAATGCATAGAAATGGAGGATCAAACTCATCTTTTTATGTTGAGGTCGCATGTCTATTTATCGTGGAAGTCTTCAAATGTTTCATATTGTATTTTTCAAAGTTTTCTTAAAGTTTTCCTATCAAGCACCTATTTTATAATTTTGATTCACATTTCGGCCTTCATTGTTGTTTTCCATTTTTGCTTCCTTTGCAACCATGGAATAAAGTAGAAGTAAGTTCATTTATAGAAAATTCAATATGACCGCTTCACAAGGAGATGAAAATAACCAACAATGCTTAGATGTGCAAGGAGATGGTAGACATCCCAAATGAAACACGATGTTTAAGTGGAAACAGATTACGACTATTTGACCTTTGTTGGCATGTATTATGATGGCCTTGTATTTGAAGGTTCACTATTAAGTTTATGCTCAATTTTAGTACATTTTGAGTTCATTTCAGTCGTGTTGTGTAGGCGTGCTTTGAAGGTAACCCATTTAAGACAATTCCTGGTCCTTTCAAGCTCTTCTAACAATGCATGCGCTCAAAACCTGGGTATGTTTTCTTTCATTTGGACGACTAATCCCAAAAAAGATGATTTTTATTTTTTATTTTTCTTTCATTTGGACGACTAATCCCAAAAAAGATGATTTTTATTTTTTATTTTTCTTTCATTTATGTTTTCTTTGTGCATTATGCCAAAGGTTAGGTGTGTACTCAATCGTTCCCCTCCCAAACACACATTAATGTGTACTAATTGGGCGTTGTTTTTTTTTTCATTCATTTATAATATAGTACATTCTTTTGATATACTCGTGAAGCATCTAAGATTATGTCTTCTTTAAATATTCAGAATTTTCTAATTGGTCACTAAAAGCTTTTCGTTTGCAGTTAATCACATAGAATACCAGATATGTAGATTATAATTTGTTAGAAGTTGCTTCATTGACCAAAATTTCCATCGCACAATAATTTGTAGTCTTTTATATTCTTTGAGATAACTAATTGCTTAATTCTAATTTCAATTGTTCCATTACATTCTGAAGTAATTGTTGCTGCTGATCAATTGATTGAATGTTTCGTGTGTAGCGAAGAACCAACGGAACCATTTGTAATTGGTCCCACCAACAAGAGAAGTGAAGCTTGAGTGATGCTCATCTCCAAATGCCACATATCTACTTTTAGGTTGGACCCTTATGCCCTCATAATTTCAAGTTTTGTTATCGTTGCCTGATACGCTAATATGGCATATATTTCGGCTTTCAAGTTCAAAATAATATGATTTTTCACGTTGTGGTGGAAAAGCTTGTTTTGAGTAAACTAGTCGATTGATGACACTTTTAATTCTTCCTTTGATAAGCAGCACTTGTGACCATTCAAATTCCCTCTAGCTTCCTTACATTTTCTCCCCTAACAAGTCAGTGTGTCTTTTACAATCCCACTTATTTTCAGAAGATGCATCATGTCCTCAACTGAAACACATAAGTTCATTTCAGTCGTGTTGTGTAGGCGTGCTTTGAAGGTAACCCATTTAAGACAATTCCTGGTCCTTTCAAGCTCTTCTGGCAATGCATGCGCTCAAAACCTGGGTATGTTTTCTTTCATTTGGACGACTTATCCCAAAAAAGATGATTTTTATTTTTTATTTTTTTTTTTCATTTATGTTTTCTTTGTGCATTATGCCAAAGGTTAGGTGTGTACTCAATCTTTCCCCTCCCAAACACACATTAATGTGTACTAATTGGGCGTTATTATTATTATTATTTTTTCATTCATATATAATATAGTACATTCTTTTGATATACTCACGAAGCATCTAACATTATGTCTTCTTTAAATATTCAAAATTTTCTAATTGGTCACTAAAAGCTTTTCATTTGCAGTTAATCACATAGAATACCAGATATGTAGATAATAATTTGTTAGAAGTTGCTTCATTGACCAAAATTTCCATCGCACAATAATTTGTAGTCTTTTATATTCTTTGAGATAACTAATTGCTTAATTCTAATTTCAATTGTTCCATTACATTCTGAAGTAATTGTTGCTGCTAATCAATTGATTGAATGTTTCGTGTGCAGCGAAGAACCAACGGAACCATTCTACTATTTGCAATTGGACCCACCAACAAGAGAAGTGAAGCTTGAGTGATGCTCATCTCCAAATGCCACATATCTACTTTTAGGTTGGACCCTTATGCCCTCATAATTTCAAGTTTTGTTATCGTTGCCTGATACGCTAATATGGCATATATTTCGGCTTTCAAGTTCAAAATAATATGATTTTTCACGTTGTGGTGGAAAAGCTTGTTCTGAGTAAACTAGTCGATTGATGACACTTTTAATTCTTCCTTTGATAAGCAGCACTTGTGACCATTCAAATTCCCTCTAGCTTCCTTACATTTTCTCCCCCAACAAGTCAGTGTGTCTTTAACATTCCCACTTATTTTCAGAAGATGCATCATGTCCTCAACTGAAACACATATAGGGTTGTAAATGAGCTGAGTTGAGCTAAGTAGTCGGTTATTCAAGCTTGATTGAAAAACTTAATGAGCTTGCAAAATATGTTCAAGCTTGGCATGTTTACTTTCCAGCCAATTTCAAACAAGTTTTGATTGAGCTGATAACGAGTAGAACTCAAGTAGATTGATTTTTATAATATATAAGCTTATTGAGCTCAGTAATAGGTTGAATGAAAGAGAGTTATTCTTACATGGAGATGTGGGCTCCTGAGCCTCTTATCATCCACTTAATTATATTCAAATGAAACAACTCGGGATATTCACTGGGAACAGACAATTAATGCAAACCTAGTGAACCGGTTGATTTCAATCTTCTTACTTAGGATCCAGAATTTCCTAGTCTACTTACAAACCAAATACATTTAATCCCAAGCAACATCTAGAAATCAATGATGGGTTCTCCGATTGTGAGGTTTCGCTCAGGAGCCCATGGTAAGTTGAACAGCTTTGCTGTGATGAACTTGAAGATCTTGTTCACATTTATGTTGTAGGTTGCACTTGAAAAGAAAAGTGTTGCATTCAGGGCCCTTGCATATGCTCTTGCCTGTTAACAACAATACACATGTTAAATAGATTCTGATATTGGATTTAGGGTTTAGGTGGGAACAACGAACTGCTGTTCTTCTCAAAATAGATTATTGGAAACATTTGGTATCGCTCTCATTTTTTTGGAAGTTGATTTTGAAAACTTGTGTTTTTTTTGAAAATTATTTTTTGGAAACATATCTATTTTATGAAACACTTATAAATTGTTTCATTAATTTTTGAAAGTTGTTTCTACACAAAAAAGAAAATGAAAATTGTTTTTGAAACTTTTCATTATTTTTGTTTATGAAAATATGAAACTAATTCTTTTTTTAAAACAATATCGAACAGGCCATGTTTGCCACTTTAATCAGTGTGTTCCAAGAGTGAAAAAGATAATTCTTACTGAAGAATTGACTTTGTGTCCCTTCAATCCCTTTCTATGACTATACTCAAAAGAAGAATAATCAAATTTGATTTGTATTTTTTCCAGCCAGAAATCATTAAATGGAGATGGCCCAGTAAATCATGCATGCCCTAATGTACCTGTTCTCTCTCCTTTTTTTTTTTTTTCTTTTTCCAATCATTCTACTTTTAATTCTGTTTGTTCTTCTATCATGTGAAAATTAATTATAGCAAATTTCTCAGTTAATTGATCCATGATTCTCACCAGCTTGGTCCACATGATTAGATAAGATTTTAGAGATTGTTAATTTAGTCATATATATATTGTGTCTGAATCGGTTATATGCATATTGTTGCATGATTAGAAGAGATCAAATATATTACCTGACTTGCAATTGTCCACTGAACATCTATCGGTAATTGTACAAAAACGTCAAATTTAGTCCCTATGAGTACTGGAATTGCCGTCTACAACAATTACAAAAACTTTAGTTAATATGAATTAGGGGTAATGCTAGGGACACCAAATTTTCTACCAAATAAATGACCAAATGTCTCACATGGGTGTGGGGTCCGCAATTTTGTGGGCCCCACACCCATGTGAGACATTTGGTCATTTATTTGGTAGAAAATTTGGGATCTCTAGCATTTTCCATGAATTAGAGACAGGGTCAGGGGTCCTCAATGTTTAAATTTCTATGTCCTTCTGATCTGATGCATTTTGTTTTAATTATACAATTATGTCTCAAAATTTATGTCTTCAGATTCTTACTACATCATGTAATACTATCTCAATTAATGCACATTCAATTCAACCCAATGATTGTCTTGAAATTCCCACTACATCATCCATCAAGGAACATAATCGAGACAAAAGAACAAAGAGGTTATGAATGAAAAATGATTTCTGAACATAAAGTTTATACAAAAAATATATCTAAAATGATTGTTAATGACATTTTTTTAAAATATGAGGACAATGATGAGTGTTTTGATTAAAAATTAAAAGATCATAAGAAGCAACATCATTCTTCATAAACATGGGTTTGTAGATCATTACTTTTTGGGAATATATTACTACTAAAAGACAGAGAGATTTGGGTAAAAAGATAGGGAAATTACCACTCAGTAGTACTTTTAGACAGTTATTATAGATTTGTAAAAAAAAAAAAAATTATGGCTTGAATTATTAATATTTGTAAAACTTATCACTTATCGATAATTATTTTATTATAATGTATACTAAATTGAAAATTTCCGTAAAAAGATCCCATGAGGTGGTGAAGCAGAGCATGGGTACCTGATTCCATTTCCTTGATTCTTGATACCATCCGACGATACTGCAAACCCAGAGAGAGTTAAATAGTAATCTCATGAGTTTACTTTATTATTCAAACCTAAATAACAACTACAATTTTATAATCATGATTCATAATGTATGAAAACCTTAGGCATTTTGAAACGTTACCTGTTTAAAGTACACCGACTTGTTAGATCAAACATGAATAACATTGCTACCGAGTCTTTGCAAGCACTTGGAATGTGATTATGGGATGTTTCATCTCCTTGTACACCATTCAAAATTATAGTTGATCAGTACATATATATACATACATTGCCATTTCAATCAATAAGAAATTTAGCGATGAGACATAATCAATCAACATCAGATGTAAGGCTCGTCAATAGAGATACGATTTTATTGAGATCGCTCACTTCATATTTTTTACGATTAGTTTTGTATCTGTGGACTTATTATTTAATAAATTATTATGCATGCATACCTGCAACCTCCCAGATTCTATAAGCGATACGCGCCCCTCCAACACAGAGTGTTTTATCCATCTGATTTAGTCCTGAATTTGATATCTCAAATCCTTCGTCTTGCCTCTCTCCCCGAACATACTTTGTCTACAATGAATAACAAAAACAAGAAAAAAAAAATTAGAACAAGAACAACATTTAATATGCTATGTTTGGTTGCCACGAAAGCATAAAACAACATTTCCAAGAGAAAAAAAAAACAAAAACAAAAACAAATGCACTTGCCAGAAAGCTAGTTTTCCCAATTTGGGAATCACCCAAGAGACTGATCTTCAAAGTGACCAAGTCCGAAGAGTCCCTGCTGTGTTCATAGCATCCACAAGGTGTGTCGGGGGTCTCAAACCCTCTCTCAGAAGCCACCAGAGACAAAGACGACATGGTGGCGGTGCGTGGTAGCTGCTTATAAGTACATGACTTCCCTAGTGTGCAAGCCAAGATTTGGTTCCAGAGAGAGCGAAAGCAGCGCTGGAGGCTTGAGGCCCGGTTGAGGATTCGTCGACGGGCGGTGACACGTAACATTTTATTCAGTTATTTATTTTTGTTTTTCCGGCGAAGCTTAAGTAGTGAAAAAAAAGTCATGTGGGATGGCCTCAAAACAGCAGGTGCAGTGCGGCCATGGAAAGGGAAAGCTGGGTTCTTTGTGGTAATCATATTTTATGGGTGTGTTTGGGGGTATTTTTAGAACTCACTATTTATATATTTTTAACCACTATTTGGCTAAGATGGTGGCTGATTTATATGGACAGTTGACCTACTTTTTTGGATAGGTTAAATCTAAAACAAATTGAACATTGTTGGCTTCTCGGATCCACTTATTAATTCACATGTGATACAAAGTGAGGTCAAAATTTGATATGGTCGAATATTCAATATTTCAGCTCAGGTACAAAATAACTTATTAAATCTTATTTTTATCATATGTTAATTAATAAATGAAAGAATACGCTATTTTATCTTATTTACATGATATACTCATTACATAAAAATGCCTTCTTCTCAGACTATTAATGCTCCAACGACTTATCTAATGATAGGACAAACGGTTTTTTAGGCTGAAACTTGAATAAATTTGATCGGGTTGTCTGGTTATTCAATTTCACTCTAAAACATACCGAGATTTGCCTAAATTCGATCCAAACTAGTCTCATTGTCTTAACTAACTTGTCAAAGCCCAAGTCACTGCAATATAATTTAATTCAACTACGGAAAAATAATTAGCTAGTATTATATATAATTATATATTAGGATAAATTATAAATATATCTCTTGAGATTTACTTAAAATACGGATTGCCCGTTATGGTTTGAAAAATTATAAATACTCCATTGTTAGAGTTTTTTATGGGTAAACTACACCCCTGACGTTTGGGAAATTACATTAACCTTCTGTCTTTGTAATTATTTAGACGACAATGAAGACATTGAACTCATGTACTATCTCTTTTCTTACTTTATTTTACTTCTTTTTTTTTTCTCCTTTGCTTTACTTTCCTTGAGATTTACTTAAAATACGGATTGCCCGCTATGGTTTGAAAAATTATAAATACTCCATTGTTAGAGTTTTTTATGGGTAAACTACACTTACACCCCCTGACGTTTGGGAAATTACATTAACCTTCTGTCTTTGTAATTATTTAGACGACAATGAAGACATTGAACTCATGTACTATCTCTTTTCTTACTTTATTTTACTTCTTTTTTTTTTCTCCTTTGCTTTACTATTTTTTTTTTTTTTTTTAAATGTAATTTCTTCTATTTTTCTATTAGGAGTTGTTGCTTTTTATATAAGCAGGGAGATTTGTGAAATGAGACTATTAACTATAGTGATGGAAATGTAATTTTCAGAACGTCAGGGGGTGGGATGTAATTGGACCAAATCTCAGGGGGTGTCAGTATAATTTACCCACTTTTATTTAACAGAATTAACTGGAAAAAAAATTCTAACTGCTCTCTTATATAATAATAAAATTATTTAAATTATTAAGGAAAATATATGTTTAACATCATTAAAAAAATGTTAATTAATTTGATGATATATTAATAAAATGGTCTATTTATTATGAAATTAGAAACCTTAGGGGGCGGGGGTGTAACTTTAAAAATTATAGGAGACAATTAATATTTTAAGCAAATTTCAGAGGGTGTGTTTGTAATTTATCTTTATATATTAATAGTATTTAGATTGTTTGGATTGTGAGAGTTATGCCTAGATACCGATCAAAATTTTGGTTAAAAAAATTTTATCTTAGAAATTGATTAAATTTTAAAGAGTCATGTTAATGACAGTCTCAAGAGTTGTTAATAAGAAATAAAAAATGATAAAATATTTATAATTTCAATATAGTTTCTTACATGTTTTAAAATACTTTTATATACTTTTTACACAATTTAAAATAATTTTATGAATTAATTACATACAAGTCCTATTTACAAATATTATGATAGTTCATGTCCTATTTAAGATTTTTGAACCAGTAAGTCTTATTTAGTAAAACTGAGAATATTATCAGTTTTTCCTAATTTTTAAAACTAAAAACATTATCAATTTTGCATAGTAATGTTTCAGATAATTATTTCACTAACCGATGGAAAAAAGCAGAGCATGAGATTAAAAATTTTTGTCCTTCTACTTATTGGTTTGATTCAACTATTCAATAAAATCGAGAATATAAACAGTTTTTTCCAATTTTAAAATTGAGAATATTATTAGTTTTTTTCATTTTTAAAGTTCTTTTTTTTTTTTTTTGTTTTGCACATCAATATTCCATTACCATGCTTTTTTATAGTCACAAAAATTTAAATTTTGCACAAAAAAATAATTAAGTTTTTTCAATTTTTTCCAAAAAAAAATTAGCTTCTTTTTTTTCTTTTTTTTTTTACAGATAATTTTTTTTAAAGTTTTTTCAATTTGAAAGTTGATTTTTAAAGTTTTGAAAATCAAAATAAATGTCAAATCATTATATTCTTTTATAGATAATCATAAATGATGAACAATCATTGTTTGAAAAGGGCAATTCCGACTATTAAAAATTTAATGGGACTTGAAGGTTCAAAAAATCTTAGTTAGAACTTAATGAAGTGTAAGTTCATAAATTAGGACTTGCATATTTGCCATAGGTGTAAAACGAGACAACAGTCTGTCAATTACAGTTATTTAATTTCCTTACACAATCTTGGTTTATCGGTTAGGCGCCATTTTGCCCTGGACAATCCTGGTTTCCTGAGTGCTCTAAGAATTTAGCCCTTTCTTTTTCTTTTTTTTTTCATTCCCTAGAACGGCCAGTCACACTCATATAGGTGATTATCTCATTAAGATTATTCGCATAACCCCACTTGGGAAAAAATTTTCCCCAAAGATTATGAAATACAAATTTAAAGCAAAGCTTACAACTGATTAGCGTTGCAACATCACTATGTATCATGGAAAAGGTAGGACAATTGTTTCCTAAAGTGATACTAACGATCACCATAATTCAGTTTCCCTTTGAACCTAGATTTTTGGGATTCGCACATAGTTGGGTTGCATTTAAGGGAGCTCTTTAGTTAAAGCTATTAATCCCATTCCCTCGATGATCTTAAAACTTGCACTCTGGTCAAAACCTTGTTAGCGATCGCGAATTAATCTTTTACCTTATAGTACTCAATGGAGATTAATCCATTGAGAGAAATTGCCTAGACAGTATTATATTACGTCAATAGATACGACTTACCTTATACATATTATTTTGTGCTCTCTCATTGCTGCTTGACTATCGCATGAATACAAATGCTGGCACAGGTTTTCACATTGGGAATTCCTCTAGAAAGGATGAGCATTCTCCTCTTACTGCTTTATCTAAAGCCATAAACTTCGGATCCATTCTGGACCTGCAATGCATGCTGTTTGGTTGACTTACATTGAAGACTGTTTGCACCCTCCAGGTAAAGACATAACCACTAGTAGACTTGGTCTTTAGTGTCTGAGATTCCATTAGCGTCACTATAAACCCTCTAGAAACTGCTGCGATATCTTCATAAGTTCAGCCCATAGTCTTCGAGTTATACTTTAGATATCTAAGTACCTAACTATTGCTGTCCAGTCCTGTTCTGGATTTGCTTGGTACTACTTAATCTGCTAACTGCATATCTAGACTGTGGCGAGTTCATGTCATGAGTAATTAACTTCGACCGATCGGGAGTATTCTATTTGTGATACCCTCAACTAAGTTTTCATAAATGAAGCATTAGATCTATAGGTCTTAGCAGACATCTCGTCATGCTTGTAAAAGTTTTCAAGTATTATCAACAATGTCTTGAGACAAGGTATATCCTTCAATGTCTTTGCAACTACTCAAAGTACGTTAAACGTTCACACTTTGAGAAAAAAAAAAATCACTATTTATTGGAAAGTGTGATAAAAAAGATTAGATGGATATTTTTATCACCTAATTGATTGATGTATAATATCTTTTTTTTATGTCACTTTTCATAGTGTGATTATATATATTATTTTTTAATCACACCTTCTGATATTAAAGTGTGATTATATATACACTACATACTTTTTATCACATTTTTAATAAGTCGTATTATAAATATATTTTTTTAATCACACATGGTCTAATTAAGTGTATTATATCATATTTTTTTTCAATCACACTTTAATTAGAAAGTGTGATTATTATCACATACTACTTTTTAATCACACTTTTTAAAAAGTCGTTATAATATCATCATTTTTAACTCACACATTCTAATTAAAGTGTGATTATAATATTATATATTTTTTAATCACACTTAATTAGAAAGTTGTGATATATACACTACTACTTTTTAACACACTTTTTAAATAAGGTGATTATATATAACATTACTTATTTTAA